CCTCATGGTCCATGGAACACACAGTCTCAGCTCAAGAGCTGTTACGCCCCAGGAACAGTTAGACACATGGCCAGGCAGGAATTTTACATTGCCCTGGCCCAGTACTGTGTTGAAGAGATAAAAGACATTACTGCCCTAGACTCCATTCTGGAAGGAAAACCATCACTGGTCCTCCGTTCCCTCCTTTTTCTCCTTTCTTCCAAATGACTTTGCAGGTAATGATGCCGAGGAAGGACTGAGTCTGATCCAGGCTCTGGGAATGGGACTGGACAGCTTGTGCCTGTTCTAAGTGTATTTTTTCCTGCTCATTAACACTTTGCTCAATGCACTTTGTTTGGTGCCTGGGTTGTGATTTTTCAGACAACTGTGGCTTAGCTATTTCTTCTTTATGGTGAGAGAAAAAACTGAAAAGTTGACAAATCTGATGTAGAGGGATTATTTATATGAAATAAAAGTTGGAATGAGGAAAAATCTTCTGTTTCTTACTATTTCTCAGTTCCACATGTAGAGATTTCCAAACTGAATCAGTAATCTCTGCTTTTTAGAGCAACAGCTCTAAACTGCAACAGAAATTCAGAACACTGATTCCTTCCGGAAACACTGAACTCCTGGGCTAGCTCAGTTTCCTCACCACAAAAGCTCCTGGAAGCAATGTCAGGAAGATGAGGATCACTTTTTCATTGAGGCATCAGAGCCACCACCTCATCACCACTGCACTTTTCTGGCAAGCAAATCTAAGGACAGCTCACAGAGTTCAGAGTCACCTGCCTGCATAGGACCTGTTCCTTCCCAGCAGTGGCTGGTAGCTCAGGGATTTGGTGCAAGTTGTTCCAGCTTTTCCAGACAGAAGGGAAGCAGCAGCACTCCCAGGCAGAATGCTTTTTCCTTCAAACCAAAGGATCAGCTGACCACTGGACAGTGTTCTTTTCCTTAAAAATTTAGACATCAGTTTCAACGCAGCAACTCTGTAGCTAAAACTATCAGAATTTATCCCAGACTAGTGAGTCAGCTCTTGCATAAAGAAGGTAATTTAGGAAACTTTAAGCCAAGGACAAAAATACATTTGGATGAAGTTGGAGATACTTGTTTCCAAAGCATTTACTGAAGGAGGCCATAACACAAAATCCTGACAGCAGTTCAGCTCTCCATTCCTACCTCAACAAGTCCAATACCTGCAGCAGGAGCATACACACAGGCCACTAACCAGTAAAGCCCAATACAGAATCTCCAGATATAAAAATAACAAAAAATTTCACTGTTTTTCTACAATGATCTCCCTCCAGATAAACTGGTTGCAAGTGGCAGAGGACACTGGCACTTAGCTAACAATTTTGTATTTTAAGTGCATAATACAGTACTTAGTGCTTTTCAAGTCAATGGAAGGCCCAGAGCAACAGGATACAGCACTGCTGGGAAGTTCAGGACATTGCCTGCTGCCTCCCCTGGAAAGGTTGTACAGCAACAGCTCAACCAGCTCCCAGGCTCTGCAGCACTGGCAGGCAACACTGGGAAGTCCGTGGCTGATTCCTGCTCACACCGTCCCAGTGCAGTGACACAGCACCTGGCCAGTTTTCCCAACACTGCCTCTGAACAGCTGTGGAACAGCCACAAGCCAAGCTTCATCCCCTTAGCTTCATGCTCCAGCTCAGCTATGGCTGTTTCTTATGCCATTCCCCCCTCTGTGTGCTCCAGCAGCTCCAGGACTCATAGCCAGCTGTTGGTAACACCCTCCTGAGCAGCCCACCGGGATCAGCTTTGACTTCTCTGGGGGAAATCCCAATGCCCAGAAGCAGCCACTGGTTTTGTTATCATCGCTACACCACACAACTGCTTTTCAGCTACGCTCAGGGATTAAGCCAAGATTCCCTGTCAGAAATACAGCACAGGAATCTGGGATTAAGATGATGTGCATTGCATCAGATGAGCCCGCAAGAGAACACGCACGGGGAAAAAAGAGCTTTTAGAGATGGAAACGTGAGCCAGCTGCTGGAGCAGATTACATGCTCCAGTAACTCTTTTTCCTGCTATTTCCCTTCCTTCTGGTCCCTCTGCATGTGCATTACACTAAATGCTCTTCTTGGACAAACTGGGCTCATTGGGAAAAGACCAGTATGCACAGGCAGAGGGCAGGTATTAGATGTCTACCACAAAAGTAAAAAGCTTTAAGGTATTTCACTCACATTTGAGTATTTCCTTCATTCAGCTGGCTTCCAGACATGTTCCTTCCTCACTGACATGCAAACATGGGAACATGGCACAGCTCTGTTAGTAGGTGACATGCAGGACAGCAGCTGTGTGAAGGGAATAACCCTCCCCAGCAATTCCAAGGAATCAACATCTTGAATCACAAGGTCACAGTCATTTCTACCTAGGAAGCAACACAGCCCAGTGCCTTGTGGTGCCTGATACAGTTGCACTAAGTGAACCTGAATTTTATTATTTTTTTGAGGAGCAGTGAAGAGAAAGGGTGAACTGGAGCTGAAGTAACACAACAGATGACACAACCATCTGCCTTTTAAACCTCAGCTTTACCCCAGACTGGTGACTGCACCATTTTAGGGCACTAAAGCAGTTCTGCTGGGATGCAGATGACTGTCTCAGTACAACGACAGCAACATAATACAAAAATTCCCAGTCCAAGTATCTGCTGCAGCCAATCTACTTCCCAAGAAATCTTAGTGCCCTGAATTTTAAGTTAGCTTACACCTAGAAACCAGTCCAGATAAGCCATTTTTGTTACTAGAGTATTTGCAAAGTACACTTAGTCACCAATTTCTTCGACAGTCTGTCATGACAAGAGTAAGAAGCACAGCAACGGGCTCATCACAGGCTGGCAACAGCATCCCAATGGGAACACATCTGCCTCTGGAGGGCTATGACTCCTGGCTAGGAAAAGGATGGGGACAAGATTGCAGCTGAAGAATATGGGTCCAGAAGATTTGGAAAACCAGGCTGCTGCAATCACTAAAGCTCCCTGGCTGTTAGGCCAGCAGCCCATAACCCTTCTGCATCTTCCCCAGGCAGCTTCCCCTCCCTCGCACACTCAGTACAACCAGAGTGAAGCCCCAGGATGCTCCAAAGCCAGTTGTAATAGTACAGAAATAGCAGCATTTCACTGAAATCTGTTTGTCAGCAAAGGAGAAGATGCAAAAACACAGTCTGGGAACTCACCAAGCCTGCACTTTCCTACAGGAATGCAGACAGCCACAACCATCCTTGTACTGGCTCATCAACTATTTTTAGCACCAGAAGGGGAGGCAGCCATCAGTGAAGGGCCTGTTCCCTTTGATCCAGTGGATCTGAGCACTGCCTCTGTCCCAGAGATCCTCTGCTACCAAAACCACAAACCAGGTAAAGAACTTTAGGTTGTTCCTGCTCTTGAGTACAAGGCGTCTCAGCAGTTACATGACAGGTTGGAAGAGGGCCACGCAGCCCATTTAATTCCATTCACTTCCTCTCCCCTCTGCACCACGCAGCCAGGCTCTATTAGTCTTCTGAGAGCAACTAGAGTTAAAGTGAAGGATGCCAGGAGGCCCTGGGCACTCAGCACACATTGGATGCACCGTTCGGAGCCGCCAGAGTCACCAGCTCCAAGCTGCAGGCTAGCAGCAGAGAAATCCCAGCATCCATGTCATTGCACGCAGCTTTATTTATCTCCAAGGTTTTACAAGCTAAACACAAGCTCCTTCTCAGAGACACTTCCCAACTGGTTCTGCATTACCACCTGAGCCAAGAAGCAAACTAAACTCAACTGGCACCACAATGAGCCTGGTTTCTCTGTCATTCATTCCTCCCTCGGGAAGCTGCAGGAACTTTCTCCCACAATCAGAGGTGTACCCAAAGGCCAGCAAAAGGCATTGCTGTCACCAGTACCCAGAACTGCTGTGGGCATGAGCAGCGCCACAGAGAGGGATCAACATGCTGCAGGCAGAACCACCAAAGGAACACAATCCCCCACTCAGAGAACAGACACCCGTGGGGCCCAGAGCCAGTGCTGCTCTGGGACACTCAGCCTTCCCCCTGCGGATGAACAGGGAGAGCAGAGAAGCACCTCAGGAGGTGACAGCTGCAGGGCACCCATCTGCTGACACAGTGCTTCCAGCTCTTCCATCTGCCCCGCAGGAGGGTGGCAGTGATCCCATGATTTTGGCTAAAGTGACTAAGCGGGATCGTTTTGTCCTTCCCACCAGTTTTTTGTTTCAACAACACAAAGCATTCCCTGCATGCTCCCCAGAAAACTGAAAAGGAGGGTGAAAAGAAGATCACAAACCACTCTCCTTTCACCTCATTTCTCCCTGCAAACCCTCTGCTCCTGGTTCTACGTTTCACAGATGCTGTAAAGGCAATGCCCAGCTAATGATGCAGCCTTAAACCACCACAGTCCCAAACTCCAATTTTCATATGAAACAGCTCTTTTCAAGCAGCCAAGTGCCATATTTTATGGTACCTTTGTGATCTGCACAACTGAAATACGTACGCCACGTTACACCACATTTGCATCCTTCAGCAGAAGGAATCTGAACTGCTGTGATTCTTTCATAGGGATGCAGCACAGCCTGGCAGCCTCACAGATTCAGCTGAATCCGTCCATCTGGAAAGCAGCAGCCTGGAACAACATGGCTCTTACGGTTTCCTAGTTTATATCCCACATCCTGGAGTCATTAAAGGCCATTTTTTCACCCTGCTCATCAAGGAATAGAAGATTTCTGGGGACCACAGGGCAGGAAACCATGGAGCTGGGAGGACACCTTCCCAGGACTCATCAGGAGCTGCCTGGGCCAGACCTACCCTGGTTCCCCATGCCCCAGAGGTGCGGGGACAATCTGTAAGCGCTGCCATCCCTCGCAGGCAGCACACGAGAGCACAACCAACCGCGCCGCAGCCCAGAGCCCAGCAGCACCCACCGCCACAGCTCCACCTGCTCTGCCAGCACAGATCAAACCTTTCCAGCACCACTGCTTCGTTTCCACAATTAGCCACATACAGAGGTTTCTCCAGCCTCACCTATGGAGACCAATGACAAATGAATCAACATCATATACCATAGTTGCTCATTGCAGTGGCCAAATTTTTGCTACTCAGACCCCTTCCAGTTCAGCATTCCTCCTCCCACCACCGAAGAGAACATACTTTGTTACAGAGACTTTCATATTGGGAAAATATTTTAATATAGTAAACAAGTCAATTTACCTTCCACATATTTTAAATAAGTTTATGCTCATCGTTAAACAAAACTGTTTTTACTTCAACAATGGATTACAGCCTCTAAATTCGTATTGTTCCCAGCTGATCCTGTAAATAGCGAGGAATTTTGGACACCGATATCCTTGTATAGGTAACAGACTGGCATAAACAGCGCAGGAATTCAATGCGGGTTCAAAGGGAGAAGCTAGCCCTGGTGAGGAAGAAAACGAAGCCACAAAATTCCCTTTTGAGGAAAAATCGGGGGGGAAAAGAAGATACCGCAGTTCCACCGAGTCCAAACGGGGTCGAGTCAGTCTCCAGGTCAGTCTCCAGTCAGTCTCCACGGGCGCTGCACGGTGCCGCAGGGACGGGCGAGCCATCGGTCTCCATCATCGGCCGAGCCCCGCGGCCGCATCCCCGGCGGCGCGCGGCCTCCCGCGGCCCGCCCGGCTCAGGG